TTTATTGTACTTTTGGCATCTTTAACAACATTATGACTATTTGCAGCTCAGGTTTCAACATAGGCTTAACTGAAAAATGCACCTGAAGGAATTTAGTGTCTGGAGGAGGGCGCTGCCACGTCCCCACAGCGTTGAGGCCTCCACCTATTCGAGCTTCCAGAAGCACTCCTCTGTATTTTGGTCCAACGATGGTCACTGCAGTTAGCACAACAAAGACCTCAGTGTTTATATATATAAAATAAACAGTAGTTTATCATTTCAAATGTAATATTTAGATCAATAATGGATAATGGATAAACTCTTTATATATGTATATATAAAAAAAAAAAACATCCAGCACGCCCCTGCGGGCGGTTTATCCTTCAAGCTCGGGTCCTCTACCAGAGGCCTGGGAGCTTGAGGGTCCTGCGCAGTATCTTAGCTGTTCCCAGGACTGCACTCTTCTGGACAGAGATCTCCGATGTTATTCCCGGGATGTGCTGGAGCCACTCGCCTAGCTTGGGCGTCACTGCACCTAGTGCTCCGATTACCACGGGGACCACCGTTACCTTCACCTTCCACATCCTCTCGAGCTCTTCTCTGAGCCCTTGGTATTTCTCCAGCTTCTCGTGTTGCTTCAGACTTATACAAAAAAAAAGTATGTTCATCTGTAGAAGAAGTGAAGAGCATCTTACCTGTAATGGGCTTCCCTGGCTGAAACACCCTGGCATTGGTGAGAATAGTGTAGGGTGCTGGTGAAGGCTGAGGCAGCACCCCAGAGTGACGAGGTAACATATCCTCACAGGCACCGGAGGGAGCACCGTTGGGATAGCCGTTAATAAAACAGAACATCTGGAGTATGAGCAACCCAGGCCAAAGGAGCTCCATCAGGCTGAATGAGGAGCAATCACTGTGCAAGCAAAACTATGAAGCAAGCAGTGTGTGATTATACCCTGGAAGGAGTCAGGGGATGGAGTCAGAAATACTCCCGCTGAGTCACGCAACCGAAAAAATTACATTTTCTGCAGCTATTACTTACTTAATCATGCTCTCTCTCACAAAGCTCACATGATTTCTTGAAAAGATCTTGCGATATTTCTGCAATTAAAGGCAGAAAAAATTTTCTGCTCTCAAATACACAAAACTTTTGAGTGCTTTTTTCTCTCTTTTTATCTCTGTCATTTTTATTTTTATACATATATATATATACATATATATATAATTGAAATAATCATAAAGTTTGGTGGTTTATAAATAACAGTGGCACACTACTGCGCTGGTTAGTACTTAATACTTATGACAGTAGGAGAAGAGTGAAAGAGGCAAACAAGAGCATGTATGTTGATACTCTGCAGTTAGAAACCTCGTCCTACTTAGGAAACATGCCCCATACTTATTTATTTTTTTGAGGTGAGCGATTCAGAAGAAAACGGGCTAAAAGTCAAAAAACAAACAAACTCGCTCCCCAAACCCCTCAAAGCTTCACAAAGACAGCAACAGTCATGGATTTCCTTGCTTGAATTAAACCCCAATGAATATTTATAACATTTATGAGGGCCAATATTCTACCACTCAAACTGGGATAGTTTTTCATTTGTAATAATAAAAGTTTAATGTACTCTTCTATGTGTACATAAAAAAAGCGCTTTGGGTTTCACACTTTCCTGAGAACATCTTATTCCACTATATGTGCTCACTGACCTTCTCACCTGCTTAAATTTACATTTTACTTGGTCAAGATGAGCTTGTTTAACATTAATAATGAGATTAAACATTTAAAAATGTATTAATTTAAGAAGTGTTTTAGTCTAATCTCTCTTTTTTTGGCTGACTCACTTCTTGTTTAATGATAATGTTTTTTTGTTTTTTCATTTTTCACCCGACTAATGCATTGCTGATGTGTGTGTAATAAGGTATTAATGTCAAATGCAACGTTGTGCTGCAGTAGTTTAGTTAATCTTTTAACTAAACTATATAACTATTAACTATATAAATGAAATAAAATGTAAAATAAAGTTGAGTTTAATTGAATTGAATGGGTTTATAATGCTTCTAGGGTGTGATATAACTTGTTATGGTATATTCAAGTCAGTGAAATACATTCGGGTAAGGTGACCATTGTAATTACAGCATCAATAAAAAGTGATGTGCAGTGTAATCAGATAAAACCAAATTACAGCCCATCATTTATCATTCCTGTTCTCAGAACTGAATTGAATTTGGCAGCTTTAAGCTAATCGTCCACTGGTTACCTTTGACCGCACATTGTGATAAGATGCCTGAATATGATGTGGTGTCTAATGGCTTTATCTAAATTAAAGGCCTCTCTGGATACACTACAGGGTTTTATGTAAGTTTCATAAAAGAATATTGCCCTGGAAAGATTGAAGTTACAGACCTTTGACATAAAATGAGGCCAGAAGAACGGCAGTAAAAGAAAAGCAGTAAAATGCAACCTAAAATAATTTGGTACTTATGTGTCTTCTGATTTCCACCAGCGTAAAATAAATAATAATAATAATAATGGATTGCATTTTATATAGCTCTTTTTCGGGACCCCTCAAAGCGCTTTACAATACCACTATTCATTCACTCTCACAGTCATACACTCGTGAAGCCACATGCATGAAGGAAAGTCAGCTGTTGGTAAGCTTACATCCCACAGAATTTAAGCAAGAAAATGCCCCTCAGTTAGTGAGTCGAAATAAACAATGATAAGGAGACGGTCATTACAAAATCTGGATACAGCTGAGTCTATGGTAGATGCATCTAATTCTGCCATATGGGGTGTTCTAACTTTAGGCAAACCAAAACAGACAAACATATGTTGTGTTTAGCTTGTTGTATTACAGCTTAGAAAAATGGTCCAAACTGCCGTATTTTCAAAGCACAATAGAACCACATCATGGCCACACGGACATCACATAATGGGTTGAATGTCCTGAAATGTAACGTCAAACACTGTAGTGTTGCTTGTGATTGAAAAGAACCTCCAGAAAAGGGTAATAATCACATGCTTTGAAAATACAAAAACATATTTTCTTGTGTGCACCACTCGTCTACCAAGCGTTGTGTGTATTTCTCACAGTCTTTGTTGTGGCTTCACAAGCTTTCCGCATAGATAGAGTGCGTCTAAAATTACCCATGAGTAGTTTGGTCACAGAAGTATGGTTACAACCAAGCAAGACTGCCTCTGTATGTGTATATATATATATATATATATATATATAAATCCTAATTGTTGTTGTTTTAATGTACTTTATACTAGAAACCAAATGGCAATGAAATGTTTATCTTAGAATAAGCCTCCCTTAACGTAGCAGGTGAGGCATTCTCTCCTCTAAAAAAAACCACACAGCATGTTTAACTGAACTTTTATTTACAAGGCTAGATGACACAGATCATATGAAAAACAAAAACTGAAAAGCTGCCGATTCACCTCCGTGCTCGCTGTACACATCTGTGAGCAGACTGCAGTCTGATTTCTTTCAAGACATTAAAACGATTTATTTCCCCACGTTTGAAACAGAATTGCTTCGTTGCACAGTGTAGAAGTGCTATTTTTCCCTCTTACTTTAAAACTGGATCTTGACCTGATTAGACTTTTAAGTGGTACAGAAAAAAAAGCAACATATCAATCCTGTTTGGATGTTACCTTTTGTTTTTAAAGGGTTAAATGGATTAGCAACTCAATATTTTAAGGATTTGTTTAACTATACAGCTCTCTTCTAGGTCTCTGAGTTCATTCTTTCAGCAGCTTCTCTTTAGGACATCCCGAGTGCCTACAGTGGTGATTCAAGTGTTCATTGGGGCCCTAGTCAAAAATGAACAGAAGTCCCTCCAACCAGCATTAATCACCATTATGTTATAAAATAATTTGGTACCACCAACCACAATGATTGTTCTATAAAATGAGAGTTAAAACATTATAAAACTAGCTAATTAATGTTAAATGTCAGAGTAAACAAAATAAAAAAATGTGATGGAATTCCTAATGGAAGATTAATTATTCAAGTGGCTCTGACTATTTCAGACCAGAGTTGCAGCATTTAGTTTTTTAAGCATTGTATATTATCTGCTCCACTTAACATTGTCTCGCTTTTTTTTTTTATAATCCACTTAGTTTTATTTTCTTCTTTTCACTTCCAGAATAATAACACATTTTAATCAGGTTTGTTTAAACAGAATCTTGCACCACTTGCAAGGGGAGTGAGTGGAATTTGATGGGAGCACCTTACAGAGATCAGGTCACTCCCGCTGTCAGTGCAACCCACTGCTGCAGTCTTACCTTTGTCAGTGGCTTACTGGAAGCTCAGGATCCTCCAAGCAGTTGCCTACCTTCCCTGGTGGCAGGTCTTTTGCTCTTCCTGTGCAGTACTGTCTCTATTTGTAACACATATTGTTTTTTAGGTCAAATAGTAATTGAAGCTGACTGCAGGTCAGCTTCAATTACTGCAGAAAACAGTCAATTCTACAGTCATTGGTCAGCTTGTATTTTTTGTTAATGTGATAAGTTATTCATCAAGAATGTTTAAGAATGTGAAACTGAGGAGGGGGTTGTAATATACGAATTATGAATATTGAATTGTACTGAAGGAATGGTTTGAATTGCCATGGGTTTTTTTAGGTTTCTGTGTGCACAAAGTTAAATTGAAAGCTTTTTCTCACTTTTTTGTACAATAGCTTCTAGTACTGTTTCTCGGTTTCTGGACTTCTCTTGAAAATGAGTAGCACCCTAAACCATGTTTATATGAATCGGTGGTGTCTTGGAAGTCTATGTAGGCTGGGAACAACTGTGGATATGGCACACATAATAATGAATGAAAGACTTAAGTTATTCATTCATCCGTGTTTTCAATCATATAAATGCAGACTAATGAAGTACACGTACAACGCGATCAAATAACAAGCACAGTAGCCAGCACAAGATGGTTTGTACAGTGTATCATTATAAAAAGAAGTCCATTTCCCAAATAAAATGTCAAGGGCACCAACAAGTCATTATCAACCATGACAAAAAGTTAGTGGCTAGAAAGTTGTTTAATCTGTTTGACTGGACTTTATTTAGAGGGTGTCACAATATACCAAAACATATACAGGCTTACTTTACGTAATTCATCATCTTGTAATAGGACAAGTCTACAAGCCCGAATAAGCATACTTTCCAAAGCGCCAACAATCAGTTTCTAGTCACATAACAAAGGATGACCTCTTGACACACCTCTTTGATGCACTTAATTGTCTGCTTTCATTTTCAGGAGTACATAATTAGGGAGACATTAAGGCTTGAGTAGTACGTTTTCTTTGTGTGCACATTCATTCGCGATGTCCGTCTTACTTCTCTCATTTTGGCTATGCACAGGTCAGGCCTAAAGACTGATTTTACATTTCCTGCCCTCACTATCTGACTAGTACGGCAGCATCAATTTAAAGTTAAAGCTTTAAATGGACATTTAGACACAGCATCCGGGATCATACACATTAATATTTTTCAACGATCTATGGTTATTTAGCTTTTAAAGTCAGCCGGTACATACTACATGTTCTGTACAGTCAAACTATTGTAATTATTCTGAGGCTGAAGTCAGCTGATGCCGCTGACATTCACAGTCACATGGTGATTTCATTAGTTTTGCTTCTTTTGAAACACTTTTCATAACGCCAGGATTAGCATCACAGACTTTCTTTGAAACAAGGGGATATCTCTCGTGGGAAAACCAGTGTTTTTTGACAACAGTGTCTTGGTTTTGTGGGAGTGACCATCACAAGAATAGATCATAAGATGCAAATGGAGTATTCCCAGAATGCCCCTTTTAAAGGATAAAGTTCAGGCATGAAGAATAAGGAGATCAATCATTTTGATAATATAATCAAGAGTTACAAGCAACAATTCAAAGGCTGATGTCCACAGCACTGTGGTTTGTGTCAGATGACAGCAACAGTATGTCACACATAATTTACTGAGGATTTGATCTGCCTCACCATATCAACGTTAGACTTTCATGTTACTAACGTCTGGGAGATCAAAATGAAAGACCAAGTGAACTAAAAGAAGAAAGTTAAAACCAACATTTTGTGTAGCTGACGTATTTACCCTCCAAAACTAGAAACGTTGTTAAAAACTGACATCCATCAGATTTTAGAAAATATCTGTCTACAGACTGATAAGACATCACGAACAAGAATACAAATGCCACAACAACAAAGACAACAGAAATCCCCTAGAACCAAAACCAAAATCCTCTAAAAGAAGTTTATCTCTGCTCGCTGTTCTAGGTCAGGTTCATGATGACTTTTGATCCCTTGGATCACTTGGTTCTTCCAGCAATCAAATAAGGATTTACAGTAGAAAAAAAGAAAAGAAATAAAGATACAAATAGAGTCATCCAATGAAAAAGTCCTTCAAAGGGTTGTTTTTTTTTAAAGATCCTCATCAAACATAACACTTTGCTTTTTTCTCCCTCTTTTCACAAAGTACTTGTGCTTTCTAAAAATCCTCTCAGGGTCATCAGATCTGAATTGGTACAAAAACAAAAACACAACCACATATTATAATTTAAGTTTTTACTGATTTGTTGCTGGTAAGTGAGCTTTAAGATGACAAATCAGATGATTCGGTTGGAAAATCTTATCTTAATCTCAATCTGCCGAAGTCATTCACTAGTTGGAACAGGTATTGATGTTCTTGCCGTCAGCAGCGTCCTCCACCAGTGCTAAGTGATAGTCCGTGGACAGTGTGAAGTGGGACACGCAGCCCACCAAGCCTCCAATGTACTGTCTGTTTGTGTGAAGCGCTATCTCCTTCATGCCACCTTAAGACGAAGAACAGAGAGAGCGCAAACATACAGATGTGAAAATGATCTCTTAATCTTTATCATTTTACGGGTTTAGAGATTTGAGGTTTCACTTACCAACATATAAGGGTCCATTGATATTAAGTTGTCTCATTTTACCAGGCGCCCTGCCTGTCTTTGCCCCGTAGTCATCTACAGTCAGCTTTCCTGACTGGCCATCCCTGAATACAGTAAATCAGTTAGTCAAACTGAGAAACTGAACTTTTAATTTGTGCATAACATTTTTGTTATATATAAAAATAAAATATTGACCTTAGATTTTATATTTAACACAGGGATTGAAAGGTGATTTGCGGTAGCAAAAGACTGTAAAGAATGACCTACAACTGCTACTTCTACCGGATCTGTTGGTTTATAAATGGTATAATAAGGCTATAATGCAATATGTTATTATAAAGACTAAGAGAGGCAATTTAAAGTAAAGAGCCACAGTGGAATGTGATCAACATACTGGATATCCACTTGACAGGATTTCATGAGCTTACCTCACAGCTTTGACTCTGTGCCACTTTCCATCGCTAAAGGTCCCGTTGATGACAATGTTGGCTACACCACTGCCCAGGTTGTAACTACAACAACATGGAAATGCATACACGTACAGCAGACTGCAGTGGAATTACATTTTTATGGTACAAGCCTGATTAATCCTGATTCTCTTAGTGATCATGGTCCTCACACAGACCTTTTTTTTGTTTTTAGCTCTACCTCTGCTGAGCACGTACAGTGGGGCAAAAAAGTATTTAGTCAGCCACCGATTGTGCAAGTTCCCCCACTTAAAATGATGACAGAGGTCAGTAATTTGCACCAGAGGTACACTTCAACTGTGAGAGACAGAATGTGAAAAAAAATCCATGAATCCACATGGTAGGATTTGTAAAGAATTTATTTGTAAATCAGGGTGGAAAATAAGTATTTGGTCAATAACAAAAATACAACTCAATACTTTGTAACATAACCTTTGTTGGCAATAACAGAGGTCAAACGTTTACTATAGGTCTTTACCAGGTTTGCACACACAGTAGCTGGTATTTTGGCCCATTCCTCCATGCAGATCTTCTCGAGAGCAGTGATGTTTTGGGGCTGTCGCCGAGCAACACGGACTTTCAACTCCCGCCACAGATTTTCTATGGGTTGAGGTCTGGAGACTGGCTAGGCCACTCCAGGACTTTCAAATGCTTCTTACGGAGCCACTCCTTTGTTGCCCAGGCGGTGTGTTTTGGGTCATTGTCATGTTGGAAGACCCAGCCTCGTTTCATCTTCAAAGTTCTCACTGATGGAAGGAGGTTTCGGCTCAAAATCTCACGATACATGGCCCCATTCATTCTGTCCTTAACACGGATCAGTCGTCCTGTCCCCTTGGCAGAAAAACAGCCCCATAGCATGAGGTTTCCACCCCCATGCTTCACAGTAGGTATGGTGTTCTTGGGATGCAACTCAGTATTCTTCTTTCTCCAAACACGATGAGTTGAGTTTATACCAAAAAGTTCTACTTTGGTTTCATCTGACCACATGACATTCTCCCAATCCTCTGCTGTATCATCCATGTGCTCTCTGGCAAACTTCAGACGGCCCTGGACATGCACTGGCTTCAGCAGTGGAACACGTCTGGCACTGCGGGATTTGATTCCCTGCCGTTGTAGTGTGTTACTGATGGTGACCTTTGTTACTTTGGTCCCAGCTCTCTGCAGGTCATTCACCAGGTCCCCCCGTGTGGTTCTGGGATCTTTGCTCACCGTTCTCATGATCATTTTGACCCCACGGGATGAGATCTTGCGTGGAGCCCCAGATCGTGGGAGATTATCAGTGGTCTTGTATGTCTTCCATTTGATGATTGCTCCCACAGTTGATTTTTTCACACCAAGCTGCTTGCCTATTGTAGATTCACTCTTCCCAGTCTGGTGCAGGTCTACAATACTTTTCCTGGTGTCCTTCGAAAGCTCTTTGGTCTTGGCCATGGCGGAGTTTGGAGTCTGACTGTTTGAGGCTGTGGACAGGTGTCTTTTATACAGATGATGAGTTCAAACAGGTGCCATTCATACAGGTAACGAGTGGGGGACAGAAAAGCTTCTTACAGAAGACGTTACAGGTCTGTGAGAGCCAGAGATTTTCCTTGTTTGAGGTGACCAAATACTTATTTTCCACCCTGATTTACGAATAAATTCTTTACAAATCCTACCATGTGGATTCATGGATTTTTTTTTTCACATTCTGTCTCTCACAGTTGAAGTGTACCTCTGGTGCAAATTACTGACCTCTGTCATCATTTTAAGTGGGGGAACTTGCACAATCGGTGGCTGACTAAATACTTTTTTGCCCCACTGTAGCTCACTACCCCTTGATGGCATCGGCAGTCATACTCGATTATTACTGTCCTTCTTGTGCACAATTTTTTTTTCCATTTGTGTTTTATGACGTTTTTTGCCCAGCGCGAGAACACAGAAAGGGCAAACACATGGCATCTAGAATTTACACTTTAACTAAAAACATTTCTTTACAATCCAGTTACATTTGATTAAGAATTATAAGATATCATAACATATTTTACTGTTTTTATAGTGCCGTTCATGTTTTACAGTGATAAATACCTGAAGATGAGAGCGCCATCTTGAAGACCCATAGAGAGGAAGTCACTGTTGGGTCTCATTGGACTGTCTCCTCGCCAGAGCAACAATCCGTCTTTAGCTGTGCTCTTAAAGCGCATGAAAAGGCTGGATCTGGACCCAGATACTCTGTAGAAAGATTGTAGAATGCACTTCATGAAAAAGCTAGAAATAAAAAAAAACACACACACACAGGAATTTCCCCACCAACCTTTTAAGGATATCTCTGTTGTCATAGGTCAGGTAACTTCTTCCGATGAACTGTGGAATCTCTATGGCTTCAGTAACAGCTGGGAAGAGAACAAGAACTCCTTTCATATCATCACAAGGTGGCAGCATCAGCACGTGTCAACTTATGTCTACAGCTAAGAGAAAAGACCAAATCTGATCCTGCGGTGGAAAATGTGTGAAGGGAAAGAAATCTTACGTGTTTTCCAAACAAGGAAAGAAAATTAAAAAAATATCTACTTTTTGAGATCAGAGAAGAAGACTTACTGTTCAAACAGTAATTCCCACACTCTGTTCCATGAAAGCATTAAAGAGAAAAAGTAAACTTAAGGGACTAAGTTTCCTTGAGAAAAAACTGTCATATTGGTGGATTTAAAACAGAAAGCATTATAAAAAATAAAACTAAGCACAAAATATTTCATGTAGCATGTAAAAACATCAGCATATTTTATTCTTAGCACCGTGTGAACAGCCTGCTGATTTCTGTGACGTGCACCAAATTGCACATCAACCGAGTTCATCTGTCGATGAGAACAATTCCACATGCAACAGACCTTTCTGGCAATGCCTGCCGTCGTACCCTAGAGGGCAGTCACACTCATATTCATCCCACTTTGGCCTGCAGGATCCTCCATTGGCACATGGACTTTTCACACATGGGTGTGCAGAATTGGCTACATTAACTCCACCAGCAGTTGCAGTTGTTATAGGGATGGTGCGATCATTGAGTATTAGCTGAGGGGGTGAAAAGAAAAGAGCACAGAGAGGAAAAGGACAAAATGAAAGAGCGCGACTGTAAAAAAAAAAAAACCAAACTAAAATCAGACACCTGCCACAGTAGCTTGGAGATTGTACGCAGTATACATCATATATAATGTAATGCTGCTGTGTCACTCTTGATGGATTGGAAATGACTGAGTAACAATCTAGCAAATATAACTGTGTTGCAGATCACTGATGTTGGCATATCTAAAAAAAGCAATCACCTTCTGAATAATGCCAGTGAAGGGTTTTATTACACCTGCTGTCCGCTTGGTTTTATCATACTCTGGCACGCCGCCAATATAGAGAGGTGAGCTGCAGTTGATCTGAGTGAAAGCTCCCTGAAACATAAATACAGCAGAGAAACAGGTGAGTCATGTCAAACCATTCATCCGCACGTCCGCTTAAATAAATACATGTTTTAAAAATCTATAACTCTGGATGTGTTTCGCTTGGTCAAAAAGAGCCTGATATTTTTCTCAGGAGTTTAAGAACCAAACCACGGCTAAAAGGTGATTAAGTGTTGCACATTCAAGAGTTGACTTTGACAGGTGATTGTTCTAATACAAATGTCACTTAAACATGCTTTAGAAACTAATAAGGTGTGTGCGTATCATGCATTGAGGTTTCTAATGTCATTAATTCCTGTTTTATTTTGAAATTCCCCAATTCTGTGTATTTCAGTCAGTTTTACTTATTGTATCTGGTTAGTTTCCCACCAGCTGTGTGCATTTTTGGCCACTTGTCACTTGCCTCTCATGTATGAAGTCTACCCTGACTATAAAGACCTCGTACTTATACTTGCTTCTAGTATCTTGTGGTTTGATTCTTTCTCCCGTTAAACTATAAAGTTGAGTTTTTTGTGAAGTATATTTTCTATAAATATATTTATTTTCTAATAATAACATAACATAGTTTTTGCAGATGGTTCTAATGGACTTTAATGTACCTCAGCAATCCCCTCCATAGGTCTTTGGCTGTCCACCTGGAGGATACCACTCTTTGCTGTACGTGATACTCTTAGCTCATGCCATGAGTCCAAACTGATCTGCTCCTCACTCCTGAAACACACAGTAACGCACATTTAGTAAATCTAGCTAGATAATGTAAAACCAATGTGAAAAGAAGATTCGAAACTTGGCTCTATCCAGCACCTTATGACAGCTCCTCCAGAGCCACAGTCAAATCTGAACTCTACATATCTGTCCACCAGGTTTATAGCAAGGAAGTCCCCGCTCCCTGCGTCATCACTGTACAGCAGCACTCCATCAGGGGCTGACGGCTGAAACGTCACCTCAAACTCAGTGAAGGACAGGTAACTCTGTGAGGACTGAGGCCATGGGATGACGGCATATGAAAACACTGTTTCATTGAAGAGCGGCGAGGACAGTGAGAAACCTGAGGAAAAGGAGAAAAGACACAAGAAAATAAGTAAATGTAAAGAAGAGGAAAACAGTTGCTAACAACACAATGAGATTGTAGGAAGAGATATATCAAGGAGAGGAAAAAGTGAAAGGCTATTTTGTGTGAAAGGTGGTCTGACATGCAATCAATCCTTCTACCGCCATATGAGAAATATTTCTTATTTCAATCGATTTTCTTGGCATTTTCTTCAACTGCTGAGTAATTACCTTGAAAGGTTTATGTGACAATACGTGGAAGTCAGCAGGTAAGAAGAAACGGCAGGGATTTTATTTTTCCTTTTTTCACAGCTGTTCAAAACTCTCCTTGTAAACTGGATGCTTATGTGCGCGCTTTTGCAGGTGTGAGGGGGGGAAAAAGGGGAAATGGTTGACTCACTCTCTTCACAAAGTGCTCCTCTGAAGCCAAATGGGCACAGACAGATGTAGCCATCAGCACGATTTGCAAAGCAGACTCCGCCATTGGCACAGCTGACCAGGTCACACACATTGTCACTGCACTCACCTGGTACATTAGGACAAAGCCAGCATATGTACTCTGCATATGTTTGTACACACTTACAACATAAATACAGTTTCCATGACTGCATTGTTCCTAAAAGTGAGCAGGAGTACAACACTCACACAACACGCACAATCAAAGTATATGAGTTTTTTTTTTTTTGTTTGCTTGCTTGTTTTGTATGAATGGGGTATATTTATAAATAAAAAAAACCTTTCAGTGATTTTTAATTTCTTGCAAAATTTATTTAATATTCTTACCTCATTCATAAAATCATGTTGTGAAAAAGTCCTTTGTGTTCCATAATTTGCCAAAAACAATCTGCTTCTTGCTTCAGTGACATATTGGCTAAAACCCTGTTATTAAAAAGCTATTTTTGTCTGTCGCTGTGACAGAAAATTATCTAAAATGGCAACAATTCCTTTCTTATATCACTGGATTTGTCTTTTTTGATAATGTCAGATATTTTAATGCTCTCATTATACACCACGACATGGTCTGCTTTCATTTTTTCTTTTAAGCAAAGTGAAATAACACTAACACCGGGTGGTGTGATGAATAAACACTGTCATCCATATTCAAATTATGCCCACTAATGATTATAGTTATTTACTGTATGCATGAAAACCAAACAGCCAAACTCTAGAATTACTGTTCAGCTACTCAACCGAGCACCAAAACTTCAGGAGACCTAGTGCACTGTGGGTAATATGGATAAGAGCCAGGTGCCACTGGCAGCGGCCACATTAAAATAACATTCATCACTCAAATTCTCTCACATCCTGTGTGCTTCCTTACCTATATCAGCTCCACTCAGAGCACTGCCCAGGGGCCATGGCCTGATGTCTGTAGCCTTATTGTTGATGGTCAGACTCTGCATGCAGCCAACAAAGCCACGATTTGTCCCTGTCGCTTTGACCAGCCAGTAAGCGCTTGGAGATCCACCGACATGCAATGGGGAGCGGAAGGTGATCTTACTATACTGACCCTAAGAGGACAAGATGAAGAAATTAAAACCTCTTTATTTATATTTTAAGGATAGTCTGACCCCTTGTAAGACAATATTTGACAATATGCACCAACAGTTTTGGTGCAAGTAGTTATAGGAACCAACTGGTTATCCAGATGATGAAAGTGTAGCACCTTTAAACCTCTGGGCAATCACTTTTATTCGCACGGTGACTTTACAGGTTGCCTGGTAGGAGTTTGACTCGGACATATTGCCAACATGTTGCAATCAACATTAGTCAGTCTGTGCTAATGACTGCAACTCATCTGGGGCAAGTCTCTTTGCAATGGTGGACTCAACTGTCTCCAAACTGGTTGTATTTTGGTTATATTTCTATATAAAAGCAAACCTGCAGAGCACTTGTGTCAATTTACCATCCAATTTACCAAGAATGCAAGCAGTTAATTTGAGTTTCTGTGCATCTAGATGGAAAACACAAACAGAGTGCGTGTAATAGCCGACTTGATCCCATTCGATAGCCGACTGAGCAGACTGATCGCCGTCTCTATACACCAAAATCACTTAACAACTGACTGCAAAAGGTTGCAGACCTGGTCCCTGTCTTCAAAGCAACCATTGCAAAGACAACAAGACTGCAAGTTCACTGCACACAACTGCACTAATTTTAGTAGAGTTGCAGTCTCCAGCCACTGACTGACTGTAGCATTACACCTGACTGATGAGACATCTTGTATCAGTATGCTTTAAATCACTGTTTAACTTAAAATATGTTTTTAAAAAACAAAAAAACAATTTGACATTTTTCATTTTCTTTGTATTATAACCTGTGATCGTCCGGATATGGGTGTGTCGTTGTCCATACGGAGCCAGCCACTCATGCCATCTCTGAAGACAGTTACTGTGTGCCACTGACCGAGAACAATGCGGCTCTCACTGACTATCTGAGCTGCTCCTGTACCACAGTTAAACCTGCAGAGACAAGAATCTAGCAGGTAAGCATCATAGCTACAGACAAGGAAAAATCCCATCTCTAAATCTTATGCACCCTACAGTGCACATTTATTTCTTTTGATAAACAGTACATGATAGCTAATGTTATTCTGACATGTTCCTCACCTGTAATGAAGCTTCCCCCGAACCAAAGCCAAAGAAGTAAAGTCTCCACGGCCATGTTCATTCTCTCCACAGTACAGCAGCAACCCATCCTCAGAGTCTGCCTGCACCAAAGAGAAACCGTCTGAAATCTATTTTAATCACTGATAGAAAAAAAAAGATATGAAACGTGATATCTTACCTTAAACTCCAAAGTAATCTGAAAGGTTTGATAAGAGTTTTTTAAGGGTTCAAAGGTCATGTGAGAGTGGCCATGGAATCTGGGAAACTTCACTGATAACGCTGAAGGAGGACAAATGAAAAGAAAAATCATGACAAATGAGAAGTAAGAGCACCCATGGGTTGGAAGAAGAAAGGGCCACTTCTTGCAACCTTGACAAAATAGCCACTACACTATCAGAGCACAGCTGACATAAAATGTTTTAAAAAAAAGAGATTCAGAAATCTTTCTTACCCTCAGAGCACGTGTCCCCTCTTCGTCCAAGGTTGCAGTGGCAGCGCGAACCGCCGCTTTCGTAATCAGTGAGACAGAAGCTGTCGGGCGGACACACAGTATCATCACAGCTCAGGTCGTACACACGAGGTACCTCGCCTTTCCAGGGGGACGTGGTCGTAGTAGAAGTGGTGGTCGACAAAGGGATGCTTTGGAGGATAAAAAGAGAAAGAAAGATAAGGAACTTTAGTAATCTGTTGCTAGTTGGGGTTACAGTAACCTAAGAGGCAATGTTTTGTCGTGTATTTACACCTTCATCAGGTATGTCTTCTAAAGGTGGCATTTGATTGTAAATTGTTCCTTTTTTGCTTGAAGGAAAGGAACAAACAGCAAAAAGCCCAAAGTGCTCACCCAAAATCAACAGAACAGGGGCCAAGCCACCATATATAGCTGCAGATAATGACATACAGTACATCACAACCAGACATGTGTGACATTTCACTGCTCCATTCGCTATCTTTATCAAATAATTAAGTATAAGAGCACAAAAAGACATGTTCTAGGTAGCTAGTAAGGGGGGAAAGCAGAAAGCCAGGAGAGATGGAAATATAATAATCACAATCACAGACTAAGGAGAAAAACTGTGAGCATAAGAGCAGTAAAAGATTTATTTTCTGTTCACGAGGAACAATCTATAAGTGGCTAATTTTGCCTTTAAAAGGTTTTGAAATCTCATCAACAACAAGAAATTGCAAAAAAATCCTTGATGGAAAACAGATATTAAATTAAATAATCATTTTAACATCAGTCTTACCTGGTAGGGGTGAGTGGGGCAGTAGTTTTGGTCTCAAGAGTGCTACTGGGCTGTGAAGTGACTGGGAAAAGCAGATCTGTAAACTCTGAAAAGATGGATGATGTGGTGGTGGAAACTGGTGCAGCTGTAACATTTGGAGGAGTCATGGTGTTCATACGGTAAACAACATTTCGACCAGATGGGGGACCAGAGTGTGAACGCAGTTGGGACTTCCTGTTGTCCTGACTTATACCCGGAAATGGCTTCAACTAGGAGAGAAAAGAGAGAAAATCAGCGAAAAAAAAGTGAAGTGAGTGATAATCCAACAGAAAATAGGGTTGCAGTTTAGCTCTGGACTGTAAAAAACACACCTCTTCAATGAAGATATCATAATCAGAGTCATCAATGTCAAAGCCATCTTCATCTTTGACCCGAGGATCTGTGATGTAACTCCCATAATCACCGCTGCCAACATCTGATGCACCTGTTACAGACACCACAGAGGAATATGACTTGATAATTATTACAAAAGAGAGCAATGAGTACAAAAGGACAACAACAGGTTATTAGGTAAAACACAAATCATGAATTCCATGCACTGAACGCAGGTCAGAGAATCAATGAGCTGGAAAAGCTGAAGACATGAAAGCGGGATTGCAAATATACAGTAAAGCTCAACTTCAATCTTTATTTTTTGTACAACAGATAATTTGACTCTTGGAGAAAAGCTCAATATTTTCCATCAGTAATATGAGAAAGTGAAATGAAATATATTCTAGACTCAGACACAGTTTAAAGCATTTTTCTGCTTTTATTCTGATAGTTATGGACGGTAATCCATCCATTATTAGTAAAGTATAATAAATACAATGCATCTCTTGGCCTAGTTCAGTCCAACCACAATCACTGCTTGACTTTCCATTTTGTGCTCATTGACATAGATTTTCTGACTTTCATGAGCTATAAACCATGTAATAAAAATTTCAAAAAGAAATGCTTGAAATCTTTTTCTTTATATGCAATGAAAAAGAAGCATATGAAAGTGAATATTTTTCATTTCATTTCTTTTCGCTTTTTTTATTATTTGTTATAAACACGTTCTCCATTTTGCTCTTTCATTGGCTTCTTTTTGAATACGGCAAGTTGGTGTTCATAAAATCACTGAGTCTCCATTATAAAATGTGTCAGTCATTTTGCATGAACACAGAGGGCCACCAGTGGTTTCTTTCATTATATATTTGCAGGATCCAGGGGTGCCTATTTAGCTCAGTGGGTTGAGCAACAAATAGCCTTAAAGGCAACTTCAGGTGCCTGGGTTTTATTTCACTCTCTGTCCATCTTCTCCTGTTTGCTCTACTGTCCCGTCATAAAAAAACTAAAATAAAATAAAATAATAAATATGTATATTTGCAGTCTCTTTCCCATGTATGACAGTGATGGTACAGTTAGTTGGTAGCAACAGTGAATAAGATCAAAATGACAAACAATAACGGCGGTTTCACGGCAGAAGAAGCTCTGGTCTTTGGTTATGACTGTGACAAAGGGGCAAATGTGATCATACTTCTCATATTATGATGATGATAATGGTGACAATAGTAATCCAGCTGATGCTAGCCCAGTAAGTCTACCTGTTAGTCTGTACCGAGGCTGCTGCACCACATACTGAAAAGTGTCTCCTCCGTTCAGAAGTCTGCCATAAGAAGCTCACAGTGTGCAAAGACAAAGCCAGACAGTAAATACCTGGATTCCAATAAAACCTGGGAATTGTTACAAATTTATTTCACAATAGCAATAAAATACATGTAAACTTGAGGTGGAATATAAATCAGCTTTTAAGATAATCAATATGCATTTTTATATTTGTATAGAGCTTCATGATGTCTTTTGTACACACTAGAATGGAAAAGCAAACAAAAACAATATGTGCATGTTCAACATAGCACACACACACACACACCCATCCCTCTTACTCTGAGAAAGCTTAATCTTAGCTTACATAACCACTGCTCCCCCTTCTTCTTGCCCTTCTCCCCCCTCATTCCTCTTAACTGTGTAAATGTAGAAAATGCTGGAATCTGAGGGATAAAATCATAAACCTTTGTGTATTGCTGTGGAGTGATTATGCACAATTGAAAAAATAAAATATAAAATATATATATATATATATATATATATAAAATTTATTGACTATATCGTTCACGAAACTAAACAGAAAGAAAACTTGACTTTTAAGTGTGAAACAGTGCCAAGATTTAAACTGTGATTAGCACAGCCTAATGACATTAAATCCACTGAATAGCAAGTGCTGGCACAGAGGCAGGGGGGATGCCCAAAAAAACCTCTCATCAAACTAATCTGCTGTTGTGTAACAGTCCCCCTCAAACCATACCACCCTGTTTCTAACCACTCTGACCACACAAACAAGAACTGCTGCAGAAAGAGCGGCAAAAAAAGTATGTCAGTCAGTCAAGCCCACGCCTTCTGCTCACTGGAGCAGTGGTGCATTGTGTGCATGTGTGTGTGCATCCATTAGGCATGTGCATGGGCAGAGAAGGGGTCTGGCATCCCATCCTTAATCCTGTCTGATGAGACTCGGACGTAACCCGCTTTTATCCCCTGCTGAGAAGCCACGCTTCTCTAGACCCGCAATTTCTGTCGGTCTGCCTCTGCAATTCACCCACAGCATGGTGTTCGTGTAACTTTCCTTCGCATCATTCTTAACAATGTCTTTTTAACTGAATCTGTCTCCCTGTCTGCCGCTCCTGCACTGTCTCTCTGAAGACTTAAGGCTCTTGTTTCAATCAGAGCAGTTTACAACAATCAGACAGCTAACACAGCGTTGGAAGCGGTGTCGCCCGCAGGTCACAGAAGAGAAACCTGGATAATGTGATTGTGTTTACATGGCTGTTTAATTTCAGTAGTTATAGATGTAAAAAGCTGAAGCCCGACATGGACTGCAGCTCACACTCACCCATACAAGCGTAACGCTATGCCCATTAATCTCTAGGTGAATTCATCCTCGATACGTTTGACATTATTATTGCACATTTTTGTGTGTCTAGCACATACACACCTGTATGAATGCGTGTGCGTTTTAATATCAATCAGCTCCTTCCATCCCCCCAACCCTATCTTGCCCCCAGCAGGAGGCTACATCAAAAATAATAATGTAAATGACTTTGTTGCGGCGTATCTCCATTATCCGAGGCTTTGGTCACAATACCCACTGACACACTGCCAGGTGCTGTCCTACATCCAGAGGTAAATCATTTTTACGTCACATGAGGTTTGAGGAGGTTTTGGCCTCCAAAAAAAAAGCTACAAACAAAAAAAAGCTAAATTTTTAAGAGATTTGAAAAATATTTGCGAATATAATATATTGGCCAGTTTCATTCAGATCCGTAAACTCACGCACCGTTGGTCAGGAGATAGAGTATGTTAATAATAATGTGTTTAACAGTCATCTGTAATGTTTTGGTCCTTTGTTACATGATTTACTATTGCTGCACACCGCTGAGAGAATTTCACTGACTCCACAGGAACACTGGGGTGTTTTGTAAATCATGAGGATTAGTTTGGTAATGCAATAATATGCACAGTCTGTTTTATTTAGCGTGGGTGTATTGTTTAAACTATACTGAAAGAGAGCTTGTTTCAAAATGTGGTTTTAAAAAGAGTAATGAGGGCGCTTGGCCACCACGACATAAAACTCTGGCTCAGATATCAACATTCGGCCTTACCGAGCGTGCGCACGGGATTGTTGATAGGGCTGGGTGGGCTAACTCCGTGTTTGTTGACCGCCCTGACAACAAACTGGTACTCTGTTTCTGGAAGTAACCCTTTCAGAACCATGGAGTTAGTCTCAATGGGCTCACGAATGTATGTCCACTCTGTGTCCATTTCAGGCCTGAGAAAAGAAAAGACAGGCATAAAGATACAAATATAAGAAGATTAATTTGACACACATTTGATGTTTGATAGTTTCGAAGACATCAATTATCTTTTTTTTTTTTACTCCTCAGTTATTTTGTCTTTTAGAAATCAATGAAAAAAATGGTGATTACACTCAAAATCTCTCCAAAGTAATTGTTTTTAGAATGACGGTATGTTTTTGTGATCTTCCACTTGATTGTGTTGCCCCTAATGAAAAAAAACATCTATAAGCAGCGGCATGGAGTACAGTGTCAAGATTGAATCTGAATAACTAAAGTTGTAAAAAGAGTTTCCAAAGAATAAAAAAAGAGATTATTTAACTGATTATTTGTTTCATTGTTGTTTTTGTTCTTGTTGTACTACCACTCTGGACATCCTTACATTACAACATTTTTGATTATCGTAAAAGTCATGAAAAAACTAAAACAATGAAGTCCTGAACTTTTCCTTAATCTCCAGCTTCCTTTCTTTGCCTGACTCAGGCAGCCTGGGGCCATAACTCTCTCTTGAACAGAGGCATCTTCAACAGCAGCTTCCACTCTCTTCAGTGAGGCCTCGTTTGATGTAAGGGGGGAGAAAGATTTGCTTCTGAGATGATCCTTCTGTGTTGAAAATCTCCCCGCATGCAAACACAGACACTTATTCTTGTCTGCTTGCTCACAGTAAGTGTTTTTCAGCCCGCCCATCTCTCCTCTCTTTGCTCATTCGCGGGGTGTTGATTCTGCACCATGAAGGGCGACACTGCTGTGTTTTTTAAAGTTTGCTTCCTTTTATAGCTTTTAAACTCTTCTTTCTTTTATGACTTGCTTTTAAACATGTCTTTTAAATACCATCTGATATTTCACAGGAAAAAAAATATCTGGCAAATCATCAGACAATTCGAGACAAATTATTTCTGACCTCAACTTTTTTGGAAGAACACTTGTCTAGACATGGGAGGTTCTTTATCTGAGTGCCTCTATGTGTGCGTGCGTGTGTGTGCGTGTGCCTGAACATTACTAAACAAAGAATGAAACTCATTCTTTCACATGTCACAACTGACCCTTATGTCAAAACACAAAAGCTTACACTGAACAGACAGGAAAAGCCTCATGAAAGTCACTGTGAAAGAGAGCTGTGTGTGCCCTGTTTAGTTATTTGAATCTGAGTAGGTGCAGATCTCTACATCCGTTAATGCAAACCAACTGAATTTTGTTTGAAATATGGTTTCTTTTAAGATAGTGCATTATTAGCACTCTGCTAGCTTTCAAAACTGTTACTGGTTAACAGTGTATATTATTGATCTATTTCTAGAAGTTAATAACTTCTAATAATGAAAACATAGTCCAATTATTTACTATTTTAAAAAGTGTACAGATGTTGTGATGTGTCCAGCGTCTGCTTGTTCCTTGTTGAGAGCCTCAAAAGACTGAGGGCTGAGGAGTTGAGCAACTTCAGGAAGCAAATCAAAAAAACTGAAAGCTGGGGAAACCACTGTCCTAAAAAAACAAGTGCAAGCAACAAAATTTGATTTTACTGAGAATCACTTCAGGTTGCTTTGCAGCACTGTAGTGGCAGTGACTCTTTCAAAATCAACTCAAGGTATCTGATTAATTAAATCTGCAATCAGAAGCTGCTGTTTTTACATTTCAGCCCATAGAAGGATAAAACACACGGGGAAAGAATGAGAGGTTGTGGTAGCTATGTTTTGAACCTTTTAAGCAGTGTTTTTTAACTTTAGGGTGGACATCCTGAGGTGTTGTAAGATAACTTCATGTAACTGGTGTGAAGTAAAAGCATACAGCTGGGTAGCAGGGAAAGTGCCTGGCTAAATGTTAGATATCAGCGCAACAGGGTTTGTCATTGCTGGTGTACCTGAAAATCAAAAACACATTTCACATTTGGTTTATAGACATGAAAGTCAAGTTGATCTTCTAACACTCCTAGCAAAATGGAAAATAAGAAGATTTTGCAGAACTGTTCTTTTAGGTCTGCTATTTTCCTCCATGACGACAACACTCAGTCTTAACTTGTTAAGTGCATATGTGAGCTGATTTTTAAGTGCTTGCATAAATTGTTTTTGCACCAATTCCACTCAAAAAAGACCTTCTAGTGCTGAAGTCGACAGCTGTACAGCACCGTAAAATTACTATTCCTAAAGTTGGAACTGCTGATGTTATGGAGGATGCAGTTTGCACAGTCCGTTTGCCACTATTTTTATTTTATGTAATGTTCAGCTCTCAAAACTGTCAGAAAAAATTGGCTGGTTTTCAAAAGCGAGCAAGCCAGAACTAGCTCCAAACCAGCTCTGGTGTTGTGTTGATGTAAAAGAGGTGACTGGTGTTTGTGCTGTTGCGTGTGTCCTATGTATTAACATCAAGTCAGCAGTGATGAAACCGGTCAGTTCTGACTGACCTGATGTAAGCCACCAGGAAGTGAAGAACAGGTGCGCTTCCATCGCTCTCGCCTTGCTGCCACGATAGAGCCAGCTCTGTGTCGGATACGGCCATGACAGTGGGCTTGGAGGGGGGTGAAGGGGGCATGCACATTTCTAATGCCAGGGGAAAAAACTGTAGTCAGCGAATGGTGTAAACGAATTACTGTAAAGCTACTGGCATCGACTGTAAAATGATCTCCGTCTACTCACATATTCTTACCCTGTGAAGCAGTGCCGATGTCTCTGGGCATGCTGGGTCTTCCCTCCCCTGCCCAGCCATATGCTCCAACACTGACTCTGTAGTTAGTGTTCACCTTCAGGTTACTGATGTCCACATCCTAGAAGGTGAATGTAGGAAACCGTTAAGAAGCAAGGCGAGGATGATTAGAAAGAGAGAGGGATGAAATAGAAGAAAAGAAAGCAGGGATGACATTATTAATTAGGGATTTTCTCAGCATCAGAGCGGAAATAATATCAGGTTCACAAATAAATGTCAGTCGTGACAATAAAGCAGGAGAAGCGTATAATTTTATAGAGAAAATGCATAATGTGGAAAGCAGTGGCTAGCACGGTACTTACAAAGCTTGCTTGTCCATCAAATTGTCCCTTTGAAAAAGAAAAAAACAGATGTTTGCATAAAATCACGGTGTTATGACTTTAATAACAAGTTCAAACTGCAACATCCATTCAGGTTTCCTCTAAGCAAATTCCACATTATCTACAAGTGACTGCTAAAAATGCAACGCCTATTACAGGTGAATGTATCTTTGGATACTAACAGTAGTCAGCATGTCCAAGCTGAGCGGCACCTCCATTATAGACGCGGTCCCTACTGTACGGCCATTCTTCATCTCTGTGTAGAAAACCTGGATGATACAAACATTCATAAAATGAAATGAGTTTTTGGTTTCTTTGGTTTTTGCCTTTCCATTTTAAAGACATAGCAACAACAATGTCAAAAGAGGGATCGCTAGAAAAAATTTATGAGGAAACTGAGAAGACTGTTTGTAAACTTAAAACAATTGGCCACCCCGCATGTTTATGGGGTAGCTCTGTAGTTGACTAATCCTCTTAGTGAAGACATATGGTCAAAAGCAGAGCACACGCAGTCATACTGATCCACAAATTGCTAATGGGCGACTCAAAACAAAAACAAGGGAAGAAGGAAGGAAGCAAGGGTTTGGGTTGTCTTAGAGTATACCACATTCAAAGAGAGGAAAAACTAAAATTATGACTTGTGTTACAAAAGAATCTCTATCTGTTTATTTGTTGATGACTTTCTATCAGGAGCTGAGCAACCAAAAAGCAGCACAGGTACATCTCAGTCCCCTGAAGGTCTACATCAGATGTTACCATGTTATCATGTTGCCTAGAAACCATCTACAAATGGGCTAAAACGAAAGATTTTATATGAGTTATCTATCTATCTATCTATCTATCTATCTATCTATCTATCTATCTATCTATCTATCTATCTATATATATATATATATATATATATATATATATATATATATATACACCTTATAACAGCATTGTTTCATTGTAATTTTATGACATTTTACATACTCAAAATGTAAAATATTACCTTTTTTTTATCTAAATCAGATATTACAATGTCGTATTCCCCAACAAGCACAGACCAATGGGCTGAGAATGACCTACTCTTAGTATTGATGCACCTGCAGTGCCTTATAAAAGTAGCGTATTGTTTTAATTTCACAACCTTAAAATCTCATTTAAATCAACACAAAATGGATATTGTGATATAAAATGATATCACTTCCTTCCTAAAATTACTTAACAATGATATAAAACAACATGTATATAATATGTATATATAATATAACAGGACATGGATACAGGCATGTACTGGTCGCTCAATAATAAATAAAATTTGCAGTCAGTCGATTTTATGTTAAAACTTCCCTGCAACTTTTTTTTGTTCATTACTGAACGGAAACTGAAAGAAGCCAGGCCGACTTTAGTGTTTAAAGTGCAGCTTGTATAGAGTGGAGCAGACAATAAATAAAGATTTGTGACCACATCTTCCACAGCTACACTGTCCCTGTAAAAAGTCATATTGTGGAAAGGGTTCCACCCCAAAACCAGAACTTTCAAATATCAATCTAGTGCTCAAGGCTCTCTTAGTGGGCAGTGAGATGACAGCACTTTAGAAGCAGAAAAAAGAAAGTGGGGGACACTCATGCCAGTGGTGTGCAGAAGGAAATGGAAAATTTTTTCAAAGGAAAAAAAGAGACAATTTGATTTGTGACATATCAGAGAATTTGTTCTTTATGTTTGCCAGTTTGAAAAACCTTTCTATGCATTTTGAAAGGGCTCTTGAAAGAGTTATGTAAGTCCACTTCTCTTGGTTTTAAACAATTTTTTTTCTGGGACACTTGGACTCAAAAAATATAAAATGGTTCAAACTAGAAAGAAGTCCTCTACAATGAAACATCCATATTCCAATCAAACATAACAGGATTTCAATTTTTATAAATAAGGTAGCTAACATCTGGCTTAAGACTTTGCTATGAAAGATATGTAACATGTTTCATTTCACCAACATTAAATATCTAGCTACTCTAAACTTGTGATGCAACTTTTTTGTATGACTCATTTCATAAAAACATTCACCACCTTCTACTCTTAAAAATCAAAAGTTCAGCAGAACATGAGAATCATTTGCTATTGGATGCTAATGGAGCAGAGCAAACAGAGCAAAATGAAGCAGCTGAGAGTTTAATAAAACACTAAGACTATGCTGAAAGATAAAATGTGCAGATGTAGTCTATCTGATTAAAAAAGTAACAAAGTCTTTCAGCTGCTTCTCCTGCCCCATTCAGACATGTACGCCTTTCCTTTAATCTGACAGCTTCCCCCTTTATGTATGAACTTTTCCATATGTATGTCATTTTTCCAATAAAATTGTGACTCCTATCTAACACGGTTGAACCTAGTGACATTAACGGACAGGAACGCGCAAGATTGCATTTGAGTTGTTGTTATTTGGCCCAATTTATAAATAATAAAGTTTACAAATAACATGTATGTCCTAGAAATAAGACAATTTCATGTTGATTAGCTACTGATTGGATGTGATGTTAGAAAACAACAAAGTGATACAAGGGTGTGAAAGCTCCATTCACATGGTCTATAGGCTGGTTGGTGACCATCTAGATACCACTGGTAGCAAGTGACTGTTGAAGGGTGATGACTGTCGCTATCTACTTGATGTCTAAAGCTGCAGCCATGCAAGCCAGGAGAATCACTTGTTTCTACGGTGCTAAATGTGTATTCTGCAACTGATTGGCAAGTAGTTGCTGCAGGTTGTTGTCGGTTGTTAGTGTGAAATCAGTTGCAAAGAAGTGTATGGTGCTGCACCAAAACTTCCATGCTATTGCTTTACAAACACTTCCAAACTACTCTTTAAGTCGTAGTTAAACTGTGAAAAGTGCAGCGCAAACGAGAAACGCTCTTCTTCTACACTCCCTATTTTTTATTTGTTGTTGTTTTATTTAACCTTTAATTAACCAGGAAAAATAAACTTTTGAGATTAATAGCATGTCCTGGCCAAGAAGGACAGTAGTCAAACATAAGTTGGATAAATTATTAGCACATATCCATATATATATACATCCAAATCTACACACTGGTTAAGTACAGGCAAAAAATAGAAATAAAATACAGAAACAACCAAATTTTATAAACTTCAGATTCAATAAAAAAATGTATAACTTGGAAAAAGTAATTTTCTAATGCCAGAAATAAAGGTAATAATATTAAAGCAAAAGATTTATACCCTGAAATAACTGCCACCAAGTCATTTGAAATTGCTCTAAATCCATAATGTGAGACCAGTTTCTTAAGTTTCATTTGATTCGGCTGCTCATTTCTGGAGGAACGAACTTGAATACAATCTGAATGGTTTTTGCTGTTGTTTTTTTAATTCAGTGTGACTCTATGGGAAAGACAAGGAGAATCTTTCCCATTTCCTATTTGCATCACATTTTCTTCAAGTCTTCCTGCATCTCTAAAAATAAAGGGGAAATCGCCATCATCTATGCAAACTACTGGCAACTGCAGCAGCAATCCGTTAGGGAGCAAACTAGTCACAAGGGGGTTCTTTACAACTGATTTCAACCAGTGACACCTCCACGCCTCAGCTGCTCAGAGAACACACATCTTTTGCCTGGGATCAGGCAGGTTACTCAGGCCTTGGTTTTTCAGTAGTTTGCCATCTTTTGGTGTAAGAATTACTAACTCTATGCAATAATATATGTTAGTATATCAATTTAGGTAAACTTCCATATTAGTACTTCAGGTTGATAACTGGTTCCAAATCTGTCCTCTCTATTGGTTTGGCACTACCACCAGTTCCTTTCATCATTGCTGATATTTTTCTGGCAGTTGTGCATTACAAAACAATTATGTGTAACCGGTGGAAGTTTAACTTTTGCCCCCTCTCCCCGCAGAGTAAAAGTACAATGCAAATGCTAAAATTGCGTAAACTGTATATTTGTAATGTGGGACTTGATAGAAGAATCCGACCTATAAGCAGGAAGAATGCTGATACAAATATTTAAAAAATAAAATAAAAAACCCTTACCAACATACCTAGTGACATAATGTAATATAAAAACTGAAATATTGTTTCAGTTGTTAAATTACATTATGTGTCTCTAATTACCTTATATCCAGTGATGGTGCTAACATGTCTCCGGGGCATCTTCCATCGTACACTGAAGGCAGTGCAGTTGATTGTCTCCAGCTGGATGTCTAATGGAGGACTCAGGCGATCTGGTTAAACAGAGACGACACACTTAGTGACAGATATAATCAGTAAGGGAAAGAGGAGATATACAAGGGAGGAAAGTACAAGTTTGGTTGTATTAGAAAGCTGTGACCACCTAGTTTTGGACTTAAATAATGTTATACCAGATACATTATGGAATTATTTTGGATTTCATTACAAAGAATCTTGATGTCCTGCTATCAGCACGGTTCAGTAAGTGATGAAATGTAATTTACAACATAAACCTAAAGCTGCTGAAATAAAAAATTTCATATTAAGCATAATTCCAAAATTCACTTTTCTGTTAAATGTATAAACAAACAAATCGATGAAGAAATATCATCATCAGTGTGTTATTGTACAGTACCCTCCCTGTAGGTGTGATTTGATGGGCTTAGCAGCCAATCAGGCAGATATTTTCATCAGGAATTGTTATAGACCAAAACTCAATAAACTTAAATGTAACTATTTCAGTTACAGTTACACTGTGGCCAGAAGCAACACTTCAGATGAACATGAATGCTGCTTCGTGTCTGCTAAATCATTAGCTGTTTAGCTAACATGCTCACCACAAAATATCAGTGTTGTGTTCTGAGGCTGTTTCCCAGTCTTCAAGTCTACAAAAATGTTGTAATGCGGATTTCAAATGTGATATTTTAAATCTTTACTTAGTACTTTCTACATGTTGACAATGCACACCATATTTTTAAGAATCATAATTACAATGCTTGTTATAATTTTTGATCAATAAATCATTAAGGTAAGCTTGAAGACCTTGGTAAAAAGCCAGGATTTCATGGATTGTTATAATAAAATAATAACAATAAAGTGGTACAGAAATGTTTTTTCTGTGTTACTATTCAAGCACTTGTTTGTTGTTTTTGTTTTTTGGAAAAAAAAAAATACAGAGGATTTCTTGCAAAGTGTGCACCATTGCCTAACCTCTGGATTGGTGCTTTGCTGCCAGTTTTGAACAAAATAAAGTCTCTTGCAACATATTTCCCAACATTTAGTCTGGAAAGAAATTACACTCTTTTCCACTTGAGTGCATTTGAGTGGTGAAAAAATGGACCACTTCTAGCTTATAATATCAACTGACTCTGACTTCACATGTAATTTTTTCATGGTTCTAGATACTACAAAGGCATGTAATTGCCTTCCCAGTGTTCAGCTATGGCCTTAAAACACAGTACTTAGAAAAGTTCTTAAAAGAGCAAGAAAGAGCAGCTACGCAGCTGTCGATCATTAGGACTTCTACTGGCTTCTAATGTCCTGTGACGTGACGTGGAGAAGCATGAGAAGACAGCAATGTTTACAGATTCATATTCGGACACTTTTTTGTCAAAATATTTGTATATAGTGAATATTTGCCATAAAAATGCTAAATATTGCTGTACAGCACCTCAATATTTTATGATGTATTTTAGTGTGCTTGCAGATAGATTTCCCTCATTAAAAAATATGAAATGCGAGCGTTTGGTTCAAAATCTCAAATATTAAACATATTAGCCACAATTTTTCTGTCTGACTGACAGTTTGTGCTGGCTTTTACAGCTATAAACTGGTACTGAAATCAAAGAAACATAAATATAGCAAAGCAGAGTGCTGTAAATTGAAATCCCATGTAGAAACTCTTTTCCACTGTTCCTGTATTTTCTTTCCCGTGACTACCCTTTTCTCCCTCTCAGGATGACCTTACTCCTACCCACTTCGACCCTCTTCTTCCGTCATCTCTTTTCCTTTCTCGCACCCTTGTCTCTGCTCTTTCACCTGAGTGGATAATGAAACATGTCAGGTGAATTCCCTGATCATTTATCTCTCCCCAGGGGTGTGTTCCAAGCAAACACATGGGTGCGCTGAACTCACAGATTTCAGATAGAGATAGAGAGAGGGGTCTCTGTGAATCATTAACTGTATGTCTGAAAACTTACAACAAACTACATGATGGATCGATGTGACTTTTAATACATTTGAATGAACTGCTATGAAACTGTTATTGCACTTAATTGTGTGTCGAGAAAAGCTTGATATAGCCACCTGACACTCATGGTGTTTATAGCAGTTACTATTTGTCTTCCATGCAACACTAGCCTGATTTTTTTCCCTTTCAAACACATAGAGGTTTGGACTTTTTTTAAAAAAAAATGAAACACTATTACGGTTAATATTTAAAACCTTGCTGTGAAGCAACCTGCAGAGCCTTTCTGTAAGATGCCATTCAGAAGTGCTCTGCAGCATGTGTAAGTCTTCATCTCTGGGCACATTCACGGCTACTCAAGGTGCCTGATTCAGCGCAGAGAAGCTGTGTTAAAAACACTCAGCACCGACTCACACAAACCTTGACAGTTGATTTAGCCAAAATAACCACTCTGCAGTTCAAGTGGCCGAATCGTTACTGTGCCACTTGTGAAAGAGGATTTATGGGTGTCTGGCGTGTGGTCCTCTCTGAAACTAATGTTAACAAAACAAATATTGATCAATCATATCTATATCGGAGATCACATTCGAGTATGGCCAAACGTTAAAGACCTCAATGTCTACAAACTGCACACTCTCACTGTCTCTTGATAAAGTAACAGACTTGCTTCTTATTAACATATTTTTTAATGAATATGCATAATAGTAAAATTTCCATTTGAAAAGCCAAACTGTTGCTTTCAACCTGAAGACATGGTGAAGTTCAAAACGAGCATCAGAATGGGGAAGAAATGTGTTTTAAGTAATTTTCTGCAAAACTGTTGATATACGGGGATTCTTTCCTGCAGAACCGTCTTTAGTGTTTACAGAAAATGATACAAAAAAAGAGAAAACATTATGTGTGCAGCAGTTCCCTGGGTAGAAATCCCTTGTTGATACCAGAAGTCGAAGAAGAATGGCCTGACTGCTTTGAGCTGATAGGAAGGCAACACTAACTTAAATAACCACTCGATTCAATCAAGACTGAATGGACAACATGAACAATGAACAAGCCTGAAGTAGATGGTCTACAGAAGCAGAAGACCACACCAGGTCCCACTCGGCTTTGATTCTCACGACCTTACCAAAATGGGTCAATATAAGATTTGGAAAACTGGTTGCTTGGTGTTATGAGTTTCAATTTCTGCTTTTACATTTGGATGGCAGGGCCAGAATTTGGTGTAAACCATGGGTAGGCAACTCCAGGCCTCAAGTGTCGGTGTCCAGCAGGTTTTAGATGTTACCCTGGGTCTACACACCTGAATCAAATGATTAGTTCATTACCGTCCTCTGGAGAACTTCAACATATGTTGAGGAGGTAATTTAGCCATTTAAATCAGCTGTGTTGGATCAAGGACACATCTAAAACCTGCAGGACACTGGCACTTGAGGCCTGGAGTTGCCTACCCCTGGTGTAAACAACATGGAAACATGGATACAGCCTGCCTGGTTGGCTGGTAGCAGTGGTGAACTAGCCATCTGGTGGCAGCATCCCTTCATGACCACAGACATAATGGGATGTATTTTCTTATGGCTGCTTCCAGTGGGTTAGCACGCCAAGTCACAAAGCTCAGATCATCTCAAACTGGTTTCTCAATCATGACAGTTACTTCAGTGTGCTCAAATTACCTCCGTAGTCACCAGACCTCAGCCCAGTAGAGCACCTTTGGGATGTGGTGGATCAGGAGATTTGCATCATGGATGCAGTCGACAAATCTGCAGTAACTGCTATAACATGCCAATATGGACCAAAATCTCTGAGGAATGTTTCCAATACCATGATGCATCTATCCAGTGAAGAATTAAACCAATTCTGAAGGCAATAAGCTCCAATCAGGTACTAGCAAAGTGTAAATTGGCTGGTAAGTGTACGATATCAAAGTTTCCATCTGTCGCATACAGTTAAACCAGCATATCCAGCATAAGTTAACACTGTTTATTTTAAGTCCAAACTGTACCATGCATCACAGCAACATGTGACTTTCCTCAGTTTCAAATGTGTGAATATAAAGTCTTTTTTTCATGTGCTACAAGATCTAGTGCACTTTCAAAAAGCTGCTTTCATAATATTTACTCTCACTCAGTCAGCAATTATCAAATCTTATATTCAGATATTTTCTTTCTGAATAAGCCACCTATTCCCTCTGATTATCATCCAATTATGAAGAAATGCAGCTCTTTTCAGGTATGAGCCATTCAGAGATCATTTTTAGTAAGACACAGGCTTTTATGGTTCTCTTCAACAAATCTAAGGGATAATTACACAAATCTTTTTCCAATTACTAAAAAAATCAAATCAAATCTAATGCATGTGTAAGGTGATGGAAGATGTTGGAAAAAAAATGGGGAAAATGAAAAAACAAACATTTTCACTTGTTCTGTTACTAATGTGTATTTTAAGAGGGGGCAAAAACTGTCAAAATCCTGAAAAAGAAAGACCACCTGGATGTCATTCATTGTGGACCCTTGCTTTATTTTTAAGCTTGAATTTAAGTGTTTTCATTAAAGACAGATGTGACTCATGTGGACACCGAGTCCTGTTGACCCCTCCCTGAGAATGAGGTCTGAAAGACCTCAGAACAAAAACAAGTACAATTGTCACTAGCAGTCATGAAGACAGAAGTAAAATCATTCTGTTTTTGGCAGTCTAAACTGTGGTGAGTTTATTGTGCTGACAGACAGATGTGAAAGTCAGCCTGCAGTGGCCTGTGGGCCCGTAAGAGTGAGGGCGGGAGAAATACAAGAGTCAGACAGAGTGACAGTGAGAGAAAAAGGAAGTGATGGAAAGAAAAAGAAAAGGAAAGAAAGGGGACCAAAGCAAGGAAAGGAAAAAGAAGGACAAAGAGTGAGGGAGTGGAGGCTGTGCGCATATCATGAAATCAACATCCAGGGATTTCTGTCCAAAGGACACATTGGCAAGTTTAATGATGGCTGCTCCAGTAAAGCTGAAGATTTCATTTTCTTTCATTCTATCCAGCTGACATATTCTGTAAAACTTGTAGCCAGCTTTTATCATCATAAAGTATGCCTTGAGAGGAGAAATTTCCATTTTATCTGGTTTTACAGTCCACACCATAAATATTTACTTATTTCTTGCTCTTCAGGCACTGTTCTTAAGCATGTGTAATTTGAAATTAAATAGCAGATAATAAATTCAAGTAACATTTATCTTTTGTAATGAAACTAGGTTTTTTATGAGTATGGAAAAATATGAAAGGGATAGGTCTCTTAGGGACATTAAAGTAATACTAAGATATTATGTGTGATGGAAAAAACTTTGCATAAAATTGTGTAAGGTTAAAGCAGACTTAACGTTACTGGTGTAGTGCAGCAAACATGATGAGCACATACAAATACTGTGATTACATCCACAAGGCTTCACTATAAAGACCAACTTAAAATAAAATCAATAATGATTAGGCTATTGTTATAACCGTAACACCTTGTCGGAGCTGGTTTTAGCTGCAGAACTTACCAGACCTTCGAGCATTTGATCTTCTTGCACAAAAGCAAACGTTGGCTATGCAAATTGCAAAGAAAAGTAGATACAAAAGACTTCTTTGTTTGCACTTAGATTCCATGTCTTGTTTTGGTCGAGATTTTCAAAACCAGTGACCAATGTTCATTTTATCACACATTCAAACGCACATGTAAATGCAGCTAATCCCGTCGCTGATAAAAGTTTTCTTAAAAACAAACGTTTTTCATCCAAATTTTGGGGACGAACGCCATCCAAAGACGTGCAGGGTATGTCCGAGAGGAGAGGGCATCTACGGTTTGACACTGATAAGATTACAATCTGCAAAAGATCAGTGGGAGGGACACATTAGCGGACGGACGGGCAGCCACGGTGCTCTGACAGGCGCTCTGACAGACGATGGAGAGGGCTGTTCCGACAATTCACGCGTAATGCGCACAACTGAACGGTGGCCACGGTGATTCTTTTTTACTGGTGGAGATCCATTTCCTTTCGCTCCAGTCCAAGTAGTAGACAACAAATAAGATGGACAGCGAAGTGCAAGAACGTAGGGCCATTTAGAGCTAAGAGGATAATAAGCGTCTAATCCGCACACTGGACACAGATGGAGAGCGTGTCTTTACGCAAAAGCAGGGGAGCCGCTCAAGCAACAGACACTCAATATGAATAACGTGTGTGTGCGTTTGTAATTGAGTGGCTGTGTGTACAACAAAACCCAAAGAGAATAAATTAACTGATTAATAATGTTAGCGAGAGAGACGGTTAGTTATCCATTAATGTGTGACTAAATTACCGAGAGAATACCCATTCATTATGTTCTTCATAGGAGTCTCAGCCCGAAAGAAGTAAAATCTAATCAAGAGGAAGGGTCTCTGTATGATTTAAAGAGAGAGAGCGGTGGAGAGAGGTAGAGTGAGAGTGAGAGAGAATGAGTTAAACCCTGGTGGTGGAGGCAGGCAAGAAGGGCTAAAAAAGAAATAAGTATAGAACACATAATACAAGGCACTTTTTGGTGCTGATAAAGTGCATTACCTACAGACTTGGTGAAAATGTAGTGTCATCCATTACATGTCCTACACATATTAGTGTCAGCGCAGCAGCAGTGGGCCTATTAACCTGAACTATCCACCTGGAGGAACACATTTTGTAACTTGATTCCATTTTGGTGTCCATTTTTGTTATATTAGTTAGGCTAGATAAAAATCTAACCCACAGCTAGGAACCACTCTGATTTGTTAGGCTATTTTCATTTTCACTGCTGCTCATCTACTTCAGCTTAATTTTCTCTGCCAGCCATATTCCACCTCCAGAAAAGGTATGAAAAATTCAATGATCCCTCAAGCCATGCGAGGTAATTTGAAAATTATTTTGTCTCATTTTGATCTAGTATTTTATTCCTGACACACACACGCAAAATGTATCCTGTGGGAAATAGGAAATGCATATTTGAGGCATAAAATAAATTCCTACAGAGACATAGTTTTACCTATAAACTACACTTAGTTGTGGTCAGAAGTATACATACAATCATCATAGGTATGACTGTCATGGTAATTTTATTTTTATTTTTTGCTCTTAATGATTTCTTTGAACAGTTCTTCTACCAAGCTGGAATAACTGCACAACAAACATCTTTAATGACTTTAGAAAAACAAGACCTGGTGTGCAAGTTTGAATTTATTTGGGATTTTCTCTGATCCGCACAGGGTCAAAGCATAATATCAGGTTAAAATATACAAGTGTTGCCGAAGGTTCTACAATGCCTTTTAACTATACAAGGCCAAGACCTGTTAACTTCCCATTATCATGACTGACCACAACTGGTAGTTTATCTTTGCCAGCATAAAAATGGTTTGTTTTACTGGATTCATCAATACTCAAAATAATAGGAAAGTCCAACGAATGGAGCCTCCTGGAGCCATTTCTAAACAACTGCAAATTCCAAGATCATCAGTTCAAAAAATTAAGTACAAATTATTTTGGATATGTCACCATGTTGGCAAGGTCTGGAAGAAGCCCAAACTGTCACCCTCAAATAAGAGGAAATTAGTTAGGCTCAAGCCTCCCATGAACTGGAAACTGCTGACACACTAGCATCACCGTCTACAGTGAAGTCCGTCACCATGAACTGAAAGGGTGTTGACCAAGAAAGAAGCCCCTGAGCCAAATGACCTTCAAGGTTTAATGAAATTTGCAGTTGTCCACATGGACAAGCTAGGTGCCTTCTGGATAAAGGTTATGTGTTCAGACAAGACAAAGACTGAGTTGTTTGGCCTCAGTGACAAACGGGATGTTTGGAGTATTGAAGGAGAGGCTTTTAAACCTCAGAACATTGCACCAGCTGTCAAGCACGTCGGTGGTAGCATCGTGATGTTGGGCTGTTTTGCTGCCATTGGTACAACGCTCCCAACACACATCAAAACTGGCTTTGGAAAGGATAAAGCAGGCGAACACTAAGCTTCATCCCAAAGCTCCAACCTCAACCCTGTTGAAAATTTAGGGACTATGCTTAAAAACTGGGTCCATGTCAAGAAAGCCATAAATTTACATAAACTCTACTAATTCTGCCAAGAAGTGCCATCAAATGCCAGAATTATATTACAAAGGTAGTTGGCCAAGATGCAACTTAACGTATATTTAACCAAATATTAGTGGGGGTGTATGCATATATTTGAGCTTGCAGGTATACCGTATGTCAATTAGAGAAAATCCAACATAAATTCAAAGTTGCGTGCACCTAGTTCCTGTTTTTTAAAGTTATTAAAGATGTATGGCGTACAGTCATTCCACCCTGGAGAAACAACAGTTCAAAGAAATCATTAGAAGCCCCAAATTACCCTGACATTCATACCATGATGAGCATATATACATTTCTGACCTGATATAATTCCACACACAGTTCATCATTTTAAAAGGAGTCCCAGACACCTGGAATTGTAGAAGCAATATTACAGTAATAGCCAAGACTCATTAAGGGTTAGTAACCTGCAGACACAGGATTTTTTCGTCTACGTTGGTTGGCTGCTGACTGACTGTTGGGAGCAACCTGGGGTTCGGTGTATTGCCCAAGGGCAATTTAACATGAAAAGAAACCAAAACAAAAAATCTGAGAATATCAAGCCACAGCTGCCCACAGTTGTTTTAGTAGAAGTTCAAAAAGAGCAAGCAGACCTTACAACAAATCAGCAGTTCTTATTCACTCAGTCAGTATGGGAATATTGATTGTATGCTCTCAGCAACAAGGTAGAGCTCAGTTCAGACTTTGGTAGATGGAATTTTAACTGTTTGTCATCAAAAATGAAAATTACTGCACTGCACCCAAGTGTTAACTTTCTGACCGGTTTTATAACACAATGTACAACAGAAGTGAGGTCCCTGTGTATTAAATGTCACATAATTAAAAACTATACCACCTTGTAGTAATTTTGTTACATCTAGGTTTATTTTTGTGCTATTGCAACAATACAAATGCACCTTTATATCTTTTGTATTTATCTAATACTTCATATAGCTATGTTTATTTGTCATGAAGGTTCAGTCTTCTTTGGGAAGGAGGATACCAGCCTTGCGCAGGTTTTAGGAAAGATGCTTTACAAATATTTTCAGCTGCCCCTTTCTGTAGGGGATATGCCACTCTACATTTATCTTCAAAATGCCAGAAATATGTTCCATTAGATTCAAGTCAGGTAGTATACTTGCTCAGCTTACAGTTTTGGGTGAAATCTGGGTTTCAGTGTATTGCCAAAGGGCCTTTTTTTTCAGTTTTTAGATTTTTTTCCCCTTTTAAAATGCTCATATATATTTGCCAAAGTGCTTTGGGTCATTATCATGCTGTAATCCTCCTCTTCTGGTGAGCTTCTGGAGACTAATCTGGTCAGCTGGTATTTTGGTAAGGCCACAGGCACTCATGGTGCAATCTATAAATGCCATCTATTCAACACCACTACCACCTCTATACTATGACTACATTTGTTATGGCTGTGTTGATTTGTGGCACACACACTGGAACCCATTTGAGATGAATAAGTGCTCTTATTTTCCCAAAATATATCTTTTTATATTTATGTGTTCTTGCTCTTGCAAGCAAGTGTATCTGTAACTTGGATAATCTTCAGAAGTTGTCCAAAATCTCACATAAACTCTTGTGCTAAGTGTGAATCACTTGCCCGTCTGTGTTTTTGTCAGCGGTGTCATTTTGTGGCTATGGCTTTGATGGCTTGTTCTACACCTCCTGATTACCGCTGAGACCGTCTTTCTAATGACTTTCAGCTGGTCACCAATCTTCACTCAGCTTTTTCCATTTTTGTGAGGTCTCACGATCAGATTTAACAGTTGCCCTGAAAATGGCTCTGTGTGAAGCCGTGATGTAAACGTGCAGGCAGACACAGCCTATGGGTCTAGAACTGAGGAATTTTATAACCGTGTTCATGCAAAAGGGGACCTGTAAATGATAAATGGACTGTGACTTATATGAGACATATGCTTTTCTGCTCAAAGTGCTTTTAGACTAACAGCTACCCTCTCCCATTTATGCACATCCATGCAGTTCTTTATTGCCTTAAATCCTTTCTACCTATCATGCATCAACTCACACGGTATCTTTCCCACAGACACTTCAACATGCGGACAAAACAACAAGTTGACAACCTACTTTACTGCTCAGTTTTAATTCAGTGATTGAATTTTTAATTAATTTGTTTGTGTTTTGATTGTGCATAAGAGAAAATACACCACTCTGCCAACTTAGAAAATAATGCAGTTATGGAGAGGTGACACAGTTTTAAATTATTTGACATTTACGTCGTATGTTACTTACTTCCAGCCCACACTTTATGTAACAAAGAGGGCTGTCAAAGATGGAAGAAATGACCTTTTTACATTTTACATTTCTGACAACGTCAAAGCGAGCTCACGCTGGACCAGGTATGCATGCCGACAAAAAGAAATGATGACAAAGAGGCAAATTTTGCACCGATATACCACTGCAAAGCCTATACCTCTCTCATATCTCACTCAAAGAGGACAGCTGACTAAGTCTTGCATGCAGTTAGCAGTGGCAGTCCTTTTAAAGGAATGTCTTTGTAGGGTCTCAGTCATCCAGGTGATGGTAATCTAAGGAGCTCAGAAAGAAAAGCAACTGGACTTCCTCTCATCTCAGACGCTTCTTCAGTTCTAATGAGCGAAGTTGTGGCTCTGTAACACAATCAGAACAACATATACACTCTGACGAGTTAACAGGTCTTTATTCTGTGCATATTTCCCTTCATAATATGTAGTTTATCACTGATTATGCTTCGAGTCTGAATCACAGGCCTCCAAATAATACACACTCTAATAATCCATAATCTAAGCTGAGTTAATGCCTTTTCTTTTAAGTTGTCCACATGTGTCTTCTAAAGCAGTCTGACCGTTCCCCTGTAACCTCTGACATCAACAAGGTTTTGCCCATAGAACTGTAGATTTTCTCTGTTTTGGGCAATTCTTTGTGAA